TATTTTGTATTTCTATAGGGTTTATAAGTCATTGTGATAGGCATTAATTCTTATTATTTTACATCCTGATTTATTGAATAGAATTTATTGGTAGGAGTTCGTGCTTGAGGCACGATTCTCAAGTGATTGAGTAGATTTCCTGACAGCTTTCTTCCTTATCTCTACCAAGGTACTGTAGCCATAAAGATCTTCTTTGGTGCTGCTGACCTGGGTACAAAGAGGGGGAAAACAAGTGTCCTGCAGCAAAGACACAGAAATTCAACCCTCCTTGGGTCTGCATTTCCAGAATGAGCTATGGTATGTATATTTCATGGGAATTATATTGAATGTGCAGATTGCTAACTTGGGTCAATGAAGAGAAAAAATGGCTGAGGAGCTATGATGGCCAAATAAAATCTTGTAGGACCCATCTGAGGCCCAATTAAGTCCTGATCCTTGGCAGTATTTTTAGGACTAATTGTTGTTTGCCACATTGACCAGTGGTCTTTGTGACAGGAGGCAGACAATTGCTTTTGTGACTTATTGTGTGACTTTACCTGGTTTATGAGTCAATATATGCTGAGGATTTAGGCATGTTCTGCTAACCTGTATGTTCTCAAGTCAGTCCACCATCAGAACCAATACTTAGGTCTTTTATTCTTCTTTTGTGTCTGTCAATCTTTCAGTGAGATGTTCTTTCGGAGATTTTGCTGTGATCTCACTTATCACAGGTAAGTGTTTGTTTTTCATCATATATAGAGATCACATACAACACTGGATTCAGAAGAAGCCCAGTCTTATGTTAATAAGTATATTGCATACCACACTGTATCTGAAATATACATATGGGTTTGATTTCTCCTTGAATTTCAACCTGGTATGCTAGAGCTCTGGACAGTGAAAGTATATCCTTATGCTGAAGTGGAACAGACTGTAAAAATAGAAATTTCTCCACTGGGAACCCATTTGTAGGGGCAGGATGGTACAGTGCAGGATCTCTGTGATACAGGCAGACAAGTAAAGTAGAGTCCTGGAGCCCTCGGTGGCTTTTCAGGCTTTTATTGAGTGCTTTTTACACTGTGGCAACCAGGTACACGGCAGGCAGGGAGTCCGGGGGGGCGGGGGCGCGGAGGGGGCAGGAGGCAAGTCCTAGCCCAGTTTCAGCCCATTTGTGCCCACCTATGCCTTCCCACAACCTACTCCAAGTGCCCAACATCAGGCATGCATGTAGGACCTCAGGGATCTATTATTAATGCTAATGGCAGGAAGGCAGAAAAGCCTGATAATTTTCCACTTACCCTACACCACTGTACACATTGAGGTGTGTATGTCCAAAGGTTGATGCCAATAATTCTAGTATGCTTGAGGGAAGATAAATACTGGGAAATGCGTTGGTGTCTCAGAATCAATTTCAATAAGAAAGTACCTATCCACAGTATAGAGAGGGTAAATGTGAGTGTGCGATACAGGAGCTAATCTGGTCCATGGATGTCTCTTGGAAGACCCTGTTGAGCATTCATTTTAATAGCCAAAAGCCATCTCTGGGATTCACAGTTCTTCATCATTTCAAATTAAGTCTCCTGGGCACTTGGTAATGCCAGTTGTTCCTAAGTCACTCCATCTGTGTACTTGAACCATATTGGTCCCCTTGTTCCCCAATTAAGTCCTATTCAAGGAAAAATGATTTAAAAATGGCATCAAGCTAATTAAAACCCTTCTATGAACTTTTTTGAAAATGTGGTGAGAATATTGGAGCAAATTTAACCGCAACTCTGTGATCACGTAAAAAGATCCACTCATGATTAAGTCATTTGTTCTTTTGTCCATATGTTTTCATATACCCATATGTTCTTATGTCCATATGTTTTCATATGTCCATATGTTTTCATAGTAGGACCCAACTTGGGCAGTTTCTTGGTTCATTTTCTCTAACTGATATTTCCTTAAATGTATACATAAATGCTTTAATCATTGCTACATTCATGCATCCATTTCTGTCTGTTCATTCACTCATTCTGTATAATTTATTTATTTATATTTTATGGGTAATGGAAACATAATGGAGTTGTGTGCCAAAGAAAAAATTCAAGAGATATCATGTGAGTTTTTTTTTTTTTTGATAGTTTCCCATCTTTATTCTACCTGGAAACTGTAACCCTGAAGTATCCAACGTGCATGCTGAGCTTGGACTACTGTGCTTCACTAAGTTCCATCAACTGGAATGCACAGAAATTCATAAACAGCTATATTCCATCAGCTGTGGTAAGCATATTTAGGTGCAAGTGTACAGAGACATAGAGTGCCTTATTTGGGTCAATGATGAGAACTCTTAAAGGCTTAAGAGAGATGGTGACCAAAAGTCTCTTGCAGGTGTCATCTGAGGCCCAATAGGTTACACTTCTGAGGCAGGATATTCAGTATTTTCCTTCTTTTGAGATACATTTTGTTTGAGGTAAACAACTGGTTAAGGAAATCATGTGTGGCTCTGTCTGGCTATAGGATTCACATGGTCCAGACCTTTTCCTGGTGTAGCTTGTGTTCTTAATCCATACCTCAAGATTGGAGTCCCCATTGGGGGAATATTGCTCAACTCTGTTCTTTTCTTTGTGTCTTTCAGTGAGATGATCTCTGGAGGGTTTCTCTACATCCTTAATCATCTGAGGTGAGTACATGTCTGTTTTCAAGATACTGACCCAAGTCACATGACCCCAGGCTAGACCAGTGTCAAGACAAAAAGTAATTTGTTTTTTGCACTTTGTAAATGTCAACCCCACCTGTAGTGATTTCTCATGAGTGTCTGCCATGCAGGATTGAATCTATGCACAGCCAAGTCATGTCCTTTTACCTTTTGCTGTGTTCCCCCTGTAAGAGCAGGAATATCTGTGGCTATGTCCTCCATGCCACATTCACATTTAAGTTTAAAGGGTTGCGCCAACAAGTCAAAAATAGTTAAGATATGGCATTTGCTATGTCCAACATTAGCATTTCAAAGATTTTGGTAAGGAACATTCATACCCATGGTATCTGTGAGTGAGATTAGAAATGAACTCATTTATTGGTCTTCTTTGGAGACCCTTTGAATTTTTATCTCTCAGAATGGCAGCTACTCTTTTTTTAAATATTTTATTTTATATAATTCTTACATCATTTTTCATTTTTGCACAACGTATGCATTTTCATTTTGGTTATATTCCCCATACAGCTGCTCTTGATGGATTCAACTTCAGCATGTCAATTTAATGAGTCCCATTCACTGGGTTATTTTGGACATTCCTGACTGGCCTTTGATTTAATATGTCACCAAATCAGGTCAGTTGCATTTCTATTTTCATTCTTCATAACAGGATCAACACAATTAAATGGTGGCATCCCAAGCAGGAAAGACCACATTTTAGTGAACTGCAGAGAATGGTATTAAGAATCCTCAAAGATATTGTTTGATCTCCATCATGATATCACATTTGCCCGAAGTAGGGATTGGAAACATATCCCGGTGGTTTACCTGCTGTTTGTGATAGGTTGTTAGAATTTGTGAGAAGTTCTGCAAAATTAAAGGTGCTTATGTCACAATTCCAGAGAGATTAAACAGTTCTAGACAGCTGTCCCATCTGGACTCCACAAAGAAACTTTCACCATGAAATACCCTTGTGCCTGCTGATCCAGGGACAAACTTAACTAGACAAGTGTGTCCAGCAACTGGAATACTCAGAAACTCCTGTACAATTGGTATTACATTCTCCAGAATCCAGCTGTGATAGTCATATTTATGTGCAAATGTATGGGGATGAATGAATGCCTGATAGGCTTTAATATGTCAGTGCAAATTATCAAGGGTTCTTGGAGCTGTCATGAGCTCATTGTGTCTTATATGTGAAATTTCCAATGCAAGGATTTACCAGCAAGAAAGTAAATGAATACACGCTCACATTTCCAGATATGTCTTTTGCATTTATAAGTTTTGAAGTCATAGAAATTCAAAATGTCATTTTTCATGCTCTTATGCATTATGCTGAATCCATGTTCCAGTTTGCATGCATTTTATATTTTGAACAAAGGAACAATGCATCTTAGCAAGCTACTAAATCTACCTCACACATCAAGAGAGATCTCATTAGAGAATCTGTTCACCTTCAGGTCAAAGAGGGTTAGATTTTCTAGTGACTCCCAAGTTGATTCATGGATTTGTGATATTAACATATTGATATATTGTGTTCATGCTCTGTGTTTATATTTATTTATTGTTTAATCATTCATATATTTCATAATTGATGAGAACTCATATGGTTTTGAATAAAGATGGTGACCTAAAATTCTACATGCTAGGTTTTACCTATAGGGCTGAAAGTGAGCATACACTTATGTTTCCAGGTATCTGTTTCAATTACCAAATAATAAATTACATGGAACTAGTTTGTATTAATTTCAATGTGCTCTCTGGTCTTAGGCTCAGTCTGATATTTTTATAACAACTTTTTATTTATTTTATTTTTTGCAAGATGGCGGAATATGTCCTAGGGTGATCTTATATCTGCATGACACATCATGAGAGTTTTCCCACGGGAGAAACTATGTGCTCTTTCTTGTGGTGGGTAGACTATCAAGGATGTCAGATTACCTAATGACTCCTGCTTGACACATAGATTTGTGCCATTAAACATATTCATATATTTATTTATTCATTGATGTCTTTCACATTGATGTGTTTATGTATTACTTATTGCTGTGTGTATATGTAAAGTGGTCATTATATTTTCATCTTTGAAGCATCAAAAAGTTACATGCTTGAGAAACAATTGCAGGTTTAAAGTCGTATTCCATTTTGACAACTCTTCTCCACTTCTTTATCTAGAGAACATTGCTGTGAAGATCCCAATTTGGCCTTCTGTAAATTTTGTAAGTCCATTGTACACTGTCTGACAGAGGTAGAAACTCATCCCCTTCAAAATCCTGACTTGAAAAACCAAATGTAGTAAGCATATTTTTGTGCAAACAAATAGATATATGATCAAAGGGCCTCTGTTGGATCAAGATGAGAACTCACCAGTCTTGAAGAAAGATGATGACCTAAAAATCATGCTCTGTAGGACTGAAGAGGCCCATTTAGTAGCTGAGCATGAGGCAGTATATTGAGAATTCTGTTTGCCTTCTAGAATCATCAGCACCTATTTGAGGTGACCAATGCCATGAGGAAATCTTAAGAATTTCAGGGATGTCCATGAACTTTCACTTCACAAAGACATAATCACAGTTGAGATTTGTCTTGTCTCTTAGTAGCCCATGTTTGTGGCCCATTCAGAGCCATTTTTCTTTCATTGTATCTTTCAGTGAGACCTTCTGGAGAGGGTTTGGACATATCCTCCATGCGCCAGGTGAGTGTGTATGACTCATCATAGAGAGAGGCCTCTGGGAATCCTAGCCTCTGGAGAGGTCAGCATTGAGGTAATGAAAAGGAATTAAATATTTTAGGCAAATAAAAGTCAGCCTTGAGTGTGAGCCCACAACATTAAGACCTATGGTTATTGAAAACTTGTCCTCATCCGCACAGAGAATGAGACTGCCACAAAAGGTTATCTCCACCTCCGACACTTTGATCAGCATTCACATTTGTGTGTGTGCTCAGGTTGAAGGCAATTACCACAATATAGGGAAACAATGACAGCTTGTTGTGACAGTTGTGTCATTTCTTAGAATCCATTTCTCTAGGGAATATTCTATGTCCTTGGTGTCTGGAGGTTTAAATTCCATAATTCACTTGTCCCATGGGCCTGATGTGGAAGATACCTAACTGAGTAGTCAGAGGTCTAAATGTCATTCCTTGGGAATTTGCATGTCAAGGAAATGAATTATGGGCTCTTGGGGAAGCCAGTGGTTCTTGATCTGTGTAGCTTTCCCAAACAGAACCACTGGCCTACCATTTGCATATCATCCTCCCTGGGTGAGACTGCCTTGAAGGATGGTACCCTCAGAAGGAAAGATCACTTATGAATGAGCCATAGTCAAAAGAATGTTGAGAACCCCAGTAGCCATGGTTTCATCTCCATGGTGACAGCATGTTTGACTGAAGAACAGGAGTGAATGTGGATGTCCCTGTGGAGCAATATTGGCATTTCTACTTGAGACACATTGGCAGAATATGAACAGAGTAGAACAAGAATATCAGACCTTGAACACAGCCAAGAGGGGCTTATGGTTGGGACCTAAAGCTCTGTGTGCACAGTTTTACCTGCAGGGCTGAAAGTAAGATCTTGATGTTTCCAGATATCTATTTCAATTAGTAAACAGTAAATTCCATGAGAATTAGTAATGTCATTGTAGATGCACTCCTTTCCTTAAGGTTAGTCCAGTGTCCCAGATATCACCTATATCCCCCCAGAAAAACAAGAAATGTGTCCTAGAAGATATTGTCTCTGCCGATACATCATGAATTTTCCACTGGAGAAGCCATGTGCTCTCTTCTTGTGGGTGAGTTATCAAGGAGCCCACACTTCTAAAATCTCCTGATTGACACAAGGATTTGTGCAAGTAATCATATTCACGCATGTCTTTATTCACTGGTGTGTTAGAGGTCTGTGTATTTATTTTTATTTCTTTATGTATTCATGTAGTGGTTACTAGTCTCTCATTCTTCATTCTTTGAAGCATTCAATACTTGCAAGCTTGAGGCACAATTCCAGGAGTAAGCTTGCAGTCTGTTTTGACAGCTGTTTTCCTCTCCATCTAGACACTGTTATCACAAAGAACCCAACTGGGCCACTGGCAATACCTGTCTGTCAGCTGTCTACCACCTGCAAGATACAGAAACTCATGTTTGTGTTGGTATCCTGATTTGCAGAAACTGTGTGTGGTAAGCATATTTCAGTTCAAGGGAATGGTGATGAGCAAAAAGCCAGTGTTGGGTCAGTGATGAGAACTCATACAGTCATGAAGAGAGATGATGACTTAAAAACCATGCTCATTAGGATTATGCTGAGGCTAGGAGACTAACCTAGGAGATTTCAAGGATTCTGGTTTGTCTCCTGGAGTCATGGGTCCCTGGGTTTGAGGCAACCATGTCAAAAGGGATTTTTTAAAATATTTTATTTTATATAATTCTTACATCATTTTTCATTTTTGCACAATGTATGCATTTTGATTTTGGTTATATTCCCCATACAATCGCACCCCCCCTTATTTTGACCCTAGTCCTTCCTCTCCTCACCTCCCTTCCCCCGCAGTGTGTCTCTGGTTTATAGTTGCTTGTTGATTTTGATTTTTACTTTGTATTAATTAGTCTTTTTCCTAGTCACTTATTTAGGTTTTCTAGATTCCTGATATGAGTGAGACCATCCGGTATTTTCTTTTTCTTTCTGGCTTATTTCGCTGAGCATGATCCCTTCCAGCTCCATCCATGTTGCTGCAAATTGCATGAGTTTATCTTTTTTTTTTTTTTTTTAAAGGAGGCATGCTTTATTTATTTATTTGTTTGTTTGTTTGGTTACACATGCACTGGGTACAGTCAGAAGCGCGGGAGGGCGAGAGAATTCACCAGAGCCAGAGTGGGGAGCAGAGCAGGCAGAAGGACCGAAGCACACTGCTGAGGGGAGCAGCAGGCGGCAGGAGAGGTCTGCGTGCCATGTGGGACCCTCCTCTGGTGGCCGGGGAGCAGCCGGAGATCAAACCGGCGCTGCAGAGACCACGGGCAGCTTCTCAACCCAGCGCTCAACCGCTGCGCCACCGGGGAGGCCCGAGTTTATCTTTTTTGATTGCTGAGTAATATTCCATGGTGTATATGTACCACACTAAATGTCCAAAAACAGATGACTGGATCAAAAGGGAATCTTGTGAGTCTCTGGCCAGTTTATGGAGTTCTCTGTGGCCATGACATAATCATGTTTAGATCTGTCATGCTGATCCATATTACTTCACTGTAGGCCATATTGTAACCTTTCCCTCTATTCATGTCTTTCAGTGAAATCTACGGGGGAGGTTTTGGATTTGCCTTCATGACTCAGGTGAGTAGATGTCTTTCATCAAAGATAACAGCCACAAAGAACAGTCACATCTGGCAGGCCAATACTGAACCAACAAAAAAGATTTATGTATTTGGGGGGTTTAAATATCAATAGGCAATTGAATAGCCATTGAGTGTACCTCTTACCCCCAAAGAATTATGACATTGAGCCAACCAAAGCTTTTCCTTATCCTTTAGATGAATGAAGTTGCAGCAAAGGGAGGTGATCTTTCCATTTTGGGCCCACTAACCAGCTTTCAGACTGTGTTTGTACACAGGTTGTCACTAGTTACCCCAATACATCAAATGGGTGATTTCTGTTATATTCTTCATTGGTGTCTCTGAGCCCATTTTAACAAAGAGGATCCTATTCCCATGCCATATATATGGAGCTGCCATAATTTACCTTTCTCGTGGGCCTGATGTGGAAGTTACCATTGAGTAGTCAAATGGCTGAGCAGTGCCCCTTGGGGATTGACAGGCCTTCATCATGTCAAAGAAATGAATCCTTGAGGATTCCAGTTTTACTCACTCACTATTTGATCTGTGTGATTTGTTTAAGAGGCTACTGGCCTCCAATTTATCATCTTAGTCCCTGAATGACACTGCCTTAAATACCATCATTTCAGCATGAAAGGCCCTTCATGAGTGAATCATTCTTGAAAGAATGTTGAGGACCCTGGTAGCCATGGTTTCATCTCCATGGTGAGATCATGTTTATCTGAAATAGTAGAATGGACTTGGATATCCTGATGAACCAATATTGGCATTGTTTCTGAGGCATGTTGGTGGATATTACCAGAGAAACTAACAAAACTTAGAGGGGCTTGAGGTCAGAACCTAAAATTCCACGTGCAGGACTGAAGTTGAGTATACATTCATGTTTCCAGATATTCTTTTAGTAAAAAATGAATGCCATGAGACGTCCTATATTTTTGATGTGCTTCCTGATCTTAGGATCAGTCAACATAAGAGATTTTTTTTCTTGAAAAAACATAGAATGTGCCTTAGGACAATCTTGACTCTACCTGACATACCATGGAAGTTTTCTCACTGGAGCCTCTACCTGCCTTCCCTCAGATGGATGGGATGCCAAGGATAGACAAACTTCCTGATGGCTCCCGCTTGATACATAGATTTGAGCCAGGAAATATATTCATATATTTTTTTATTTTTTAATGTATTTAAACTTTAGGTGTTTCCTATTTATTTCTTTAGTATTTATTGAGCAGTCATTGCTTTTTCATTACCTTTGAAGCATCAAAATGTTGCATGCTTGACACATAGTTCCAGGATTGACCTTGTTATCTATTTTGACAGCTGTTCTGCTCATCTTTAGTTAAGCACTATTGCCCTGAAGATACTGATATGGCCTTCCACAATCTTTGTCAGTCAGTTATTCATCACCTGGAAGCTGTAGAAACTCATGTCCACTTTGGCAACCTGATTTGCACATACCATCTGTGGTAAGCATATTTAGGTGCATGTGAATTTTTTTTTAAGATTTATTTATTTATACATAGAAGAGCTGGAGTGCAGGCCAGAGATGCAGGGGGGTGAGAGAATTCACCAGAGACAGAGTGGGGAGGAAAACAGGCAGATTGACTGAAATACACCGCTGAGGGGAGCAGTGGGCGAGACAGGAAAGGTCTGCTATGCCATGTGGGTCAGCTCCCTGGCTGGGGATTGAACTCATGCTGCAGTGGCTGTGCATAGCTTCATAGTGCTGTGTCTTAACCCCTTGTGCTACCAGGGAGGCCCTGTATGTGCACGTTAATCAGTGACTAACCATGACATAAACTAGGGTACAAGCCTGAGTAAGATTTTGGAAACCTTGATTAGCCTCCATGAACCATGTTAACTCGGGTTATGTGACCAATACTGTGATGGATTCCTGAGACTCTGCCCTGTTTATTGTCCTCCACATGGCCAAGACATATCATGATTTAAATTTGTCTTCCTCATACATATTTCCTACAGGAGGTTATAAAGCAGCTGGTCCTGATCTGTTTTTCTTTCATTGTGTTTTTCAGTGAGACCTTATTGAGAAGGTTTGTATATGTCCTTCATCATCTCATGTGAGTGGATTTCTGTTGTGTTAGATTTAG